GGGGGGGCATTGCCACCTCAGTTCACCTCCCCATCCCGACGTCCTCCTCCGCCCACTCCACCACACCACCACTCAAACAGGGTTTTGGGGTTTAGGTGCACTACTGAGCTACGGGGAGAATCATCCATCTCCGTGGCTGGTGGGGTCCTGGGCCCTAATTTTAATATACAACCTAGACACTCACTTATAACACTCTCACGACACATGCATATATAGGATCTGGAGTGGGCACATGATCGCACTTAGGTGGTGGGATGTACTACCATTTCCACCTCCCCGGACCTGTGCCCACTCTCATATGTAGCATGTAGACATTTAGGGTTCTGGGCAGAGATGAGGGGTGAACGGACGCCGCCTGCTCTCTGGGCAAGAGGTGGGTCTGTGCCAGTCGCCACCTCATCCCCCCATTTTAAACGCACTGTATAACAACATGCATCAACACCATATTCGAGTGCGAGGAGGAGGAAGTGGGTCTGTTCATAATTTATTTATGCATATATAGATTTATTTATTTTTTTATTTTTATTTTTTCCCCTTTCACAAACACGTCCTTTCTCCGTGTGACACTAGGGGTCGGGGATGGAGGGGGGGGCGCATTGTTGGGGTCTGGGCTGTGGGTGGGCTTTGGGCCTTGGTGGCGGTCAGTGATGAGGCCGGTGCTTCGGTTCCTCCTGGGCTGTTCCGATTCTTTTAATCTAGGTCCCTGGTTGCGATGGCCGGCACTTTGACCGGGGTGGCTGCCGGCTTTCGGCGGGGGGTCGGCTATGGTAGTGTACATGTGGTCATTGGTGGTGTAGGGTGGCAGTTGGGGGCGTGGCTTCGCCTCATCGGGGCACTGACTGGTCTTCCTGTGTGGCATTTGCGGTGGGGGTGCTGTGTGTGTGTGGGGGTGCATGGGTGGCGTGCTGGGGCGTCTCCGGGCCTATGGTGCGGAGCTCTTGATGTGAGAGCTGGCCCTCCTCAGCTGCGGCTCCCTGCTGCTCTGCCCCTTGGGCTGGGGCCGGCCTGTGGTCGCTGTCAGGTAGATGGTGCATGCGGTCGGCTGTGTGTGCCTGTTGGTTGCTCAGGTTGGGTTTTTGGTGGTCCCCCTTCTCTTGGATCAATTAGGGCCCCACGTTTGGTGTGGGGCCCACTCCCCCTGGTCGTGCCCCCCTTTGGCGGGGGACCCCCTTGCCGCCGGTGCATTGATGGCTCTCTGTGTCTGGGCTGGGTGGTGGGGTGCACGTCGGTCCGCCCTGGTTGCTGCCTGGCGGGACCTGGGTGCCCTGGCTCTGTCGGGGCTCTGCTGGGGGGTGGTATGGGCTCGGGGCTTGGGGCTCGGTGTCCATGGCCGAATCTACCTGGGGGGGCATGGGTCGCCGGCCGGACCTGTGGGCTCGTCGCTGCAGCTTCCTGGAGGCTCTGCATTGTGGTGGCTTGGGTCACCCGGTTCTTTCCTCTGCTCCTCTCTGGGGGGGTGCGGTTCTCCCTGTTGGGAGACTCTTGGGGCTCCGGGCCTGTGGGCCGCTGTGTGTCTGTGGCTCCGGTCCTCCCTATGTTGCCATTGTGTCCTGGGGGGGCGGGTCTGTGGGCCCCCACGTCCACTACTGGGCATTCTTTTGGAGAAATCTGGTGGTGGCGGGCGTGCTTGCGTGGGTGTTTGGATTTAGGTACTTTGACAGATGCACGCTAGGTTGGGTAGTGGTGGAAGCTAGATGATTCCTTGTGCGATGTCGAATGTTTCATGGTGATATTGTGGGTGGCATTGTGCTGTGCATGTTGTTTTGTCGTGGTGGTCTCTCGTCTTATCTATTTCTCTTTTATTATTTATTTATTCTTCTTTCTTCTCTTTCTTTAAAAAAAATAAAAAATAAATAAAATTAAATAAAAAAAATTGAGCGATGATGATAAGTTCATTGAAACACTTCACAATGTTTCTACACTTAAACTGAGCTCAACAAAAAAAATAAAAAATAAAAATAAAAAGAAGCAGAGCTGCCGGGCTGGGGTGATGGTGAGGCTACATGCTAATGCTAAAGCTGGGAAACTGCCGATACCATCTCTCTTTCTGTCGAATGTAGGCTTGTTAGACAACAAGATGGATTTGCTTAATCTCAGAGTGGGTGCCTCAGAGAAGATTCAATTCAATTCAGTTTATTTATATAGCGCCAAATCACAACAAAGTTGTCTCAGGGCAATTTACAGGAACATTCACATACATATTTAAAAAAGTAAACTCTGGATCCTCTAGACATTCAAAAATCAAAACAAAGCAAAACAAAAAAAATGTAGAAATGATTCGTCTTTCATCCGGAAGACTTCTTCAGTCTGA